ACATTGATATCCTTCACCTTGTCACGCTGACCTAGTTTGTAAAAGGTTTCTTTGCGACGTCTCAAATGTTTGAGGTATGGTGAGGAGATTCTGTCAGGCCTGACCATAACAGTTTCACGGGGACAACAAATATCAAAAATGTGATTCGAAAATAGCGTAAGATAATTAGAGCATAATTCAGCATTTGGTAGTGCTAGAAAAGTTGGGATGGTACTAGTAATTGAACTCTGCAGTAAGTGGATCTTATCTACGGATGTGTCCCGAACAGTAATTTTCCTCTCGGGTTTTGTAAGCAGTTGACGCTTAGAGGTGGAATAGACTTTTGGAAGTCCTAGTAGCACTGAGTGATCAGACCCGGAAAGTGGAGCTCTATTTTTAATACAAAAAAGCTTTGGGTAATTGGTCAATATGTGATCAAGAGGGGCATCAGCCCGTGTATTGAATGAAACAAGGTCATCAAAACCCAGAAGGGTAATGGGCCGAAAACTCACACGATTAAAATCACCGCACAAAAGAATAAGATGGTCTGAGGATAATAAAGCAAGTTTTTGTGTGAGGAAGTCAAAAAAACGGCCCAGAGAGCCTTCACTTGTGGAAGGGGGGATGTAAATACTGACAAATATAATACCCTTAAAGCTATTTAACAAATGGGGCTTGCAGATAACAGCAATTACATCAATTAAATCATCAGAATATGAAAACAGGGGCTTACAATTTACACACCAGTCTTGCTTGACAAAAATGGCCACTCCTCCACCTCTACTGCCTGTTGGAGATGCTCTATCATTTCGAAAACAGCAAAATGTCGAAGGAGTGATTAATTCCGAGTCAATATGGCTATTCAACCACGTCTCCTGAAGGCAAATTACTCCTGTTTTGCCATGTTCTTTGGTTGACAGAAGTAATTCCAAATCATGGGCTTTATTAAATATCGATCGACAGTTAGTCGAAAGAAAACCCGGAATTGACAACTTGTTATTAGGCTGGCGTTTAAGCGCAACTTGCCATCCACAGCGATGTTGCTTTTCGGAACGTTTATTCGGAACGGTTGGCCCAGCGACGACAAGGTACACCCATCCATAAAGCCTTTCAGGAACAGAAAGGAACAGTTGTATATCACGGAAGACTGCATAATGTACGATGGTAAAGTGGTGATCCCAGCCAGATATCAGCAACAAGTTTTGCGGGAGCTCCATGCCGGACATCAGGGTATGACCCGAATGAAACAACTGGCCCGCAAGTACGTATATTGGCCGGGAATTGATAACGACGTGGAATCTTTCGTTCGAAGCTGCGGCCCGTGTGGACGTGAGGCTAAGAACCCACCGAAAGTACCGCCCGTGCCATGGCCAGAGGTAACGAGACCTTGGAGTAGAGTCCATATGGACTTTGCGGGTCCGTTTTTCAACCGAATGTTTCTAATTGTTGTCGATGCATGGTCCAAGTGGCTAGAAGTTTTCGACGTCTCGGCAGCTACTGCTGATATCACGGCAAGGAAGACGGAAGAACTAATAGCGAGATACGGCATCCCCACGGAGATTGTGACGGATAACGGCACTCAGTTCACGTCATCAATCATCCAACAACTGTGTCAGAAATGGGGAATTCGACATGTGACGTCACCACCATTCCATCCACAATCAAATGGCCAGGCAGAACGGTTCGTCGACACGTTCAAGAGAGCGATGAAAAAGATGTGGAACACTGGTGTTAAACTGGAGTATCTCAACACATTCCTCTTTGCCTATCGAACAACTCCAAAAAGTGATCTTGGGGGCCAGACACCAGCCGAACGGTTTTTGGGACGACAGCCGGATACGCGATTACAGTACCTACAACCGGAAGCTCGAGTTCCACAAACAACAAAATATTACTTTCGCGAGGGAGAGGAGGTGTTTGCTCGCAACTACAAAGCCGGAGAGAAGCCCTGGATAGAAGGTATAATAAGAAAATCCAGAGGTGTTGTGTTCGAGGTGGAGACAGCAGCTGGAAAAATAAAGAGGCATGCAAA